CCTGGCCAACATGGTGAAACCCATCTCCAGTAAAAACACAAAAATTCTGGGCATGGTGGCATGCACCTGTAATCCCAGCTACTCGGAGGCTGAGGCAGGTGAATCACTTGAACCGGAAGCAGAGAACTGCAATGGCTGAGATCATGCACTGCACTCCAGCCAGGGCAACAGAGGTGAAACTGCATCTCAAATATAAAAAATAAATAAAAATAAAAAATAAAATAGAAAAAGCTATCAAGCCTTAAGTGCTATACTAAGTGAAAGCAGCCCATCTGAAAAGCTACATACTGAATGATTCCAACTATGATACCCTGAAAAGAATAAACTGTGAAGATAATAGAAAGACCATGATTGCTAGGGTTGAGGGGAGGAAGAGGTGATACTGCACGTCCCAGAGGATCTTAGGGCCAGTGAAAATACTGTCTATAACGCGTGGATGCACGTCATTATACATTTGTCCAGCCCACGGATGTACAACACCAAGAGAGAACCCTAATGTAAACTATGGACTTTGGAGTGTTTGTTTTTGTTTTTCTTTTTGTTTTTTTGAGATGGAGTCTCACTCTGTCGCCCAGGTTGGAGTGCAATGGCACAATCTCAGCTCATGCAACTCCGCCTTCCGGGTTCAAGCATTTCTCCTGCCTCAGCCTCCCAACGTAGCTGGGAATTACAGGTGCCCCACCACGCTCAGCTAATTTTTGTATTTTTAGTACAGGAAGGTTTCATCATGTTGGTCAGGCTGGTCTTGAACTCCTGACATCAAGTGATCCTCCTGCCTCGGCCTCCCAAAGTGCTGGGATTACAGGCATGAGCCACCACGCCCAGCGACTATGGAGGATTCTGATGTGTCAATGTAGGTTCATCAGTTGTGGCAAATGCACAGCTCCAGTGGGGATGCTGATGGTGGAAAAGGTTGTGCATAAACAGGGGCAGAGGGGCATCTGAGAAATCTCTATGCCCTCCTCTCGATTTTTCTGTGAACCTAAAACATCTCTTTAAAAAAGTTCTTAAAAATAATAGGCTGACGTGATGCAGAGGCCTTTGTTTTATCCCCAGCTGTGTGCCCTCCAAGCCTCAGTTTCCTCACCTATAAAATGGATCTGAATGTGCCTATTCCACGGGGCCACTGCAAGGATTCAGTGAGATTCTGTGTATTGCTCAGCACAGGGTTTGTCTGGTACCTCAAAGGCATCTGTTGAATGGTAGCTGTGATGGGAAGGTACAGGGACGTCTTGAGGGGACACAGTGAGGAGGGAGTGAACACAGATGGGTCTCCATCACCTCAGTGTAGAAAGAGCTGGGGTACAGGACCTCAGCAAAACATAGCACACAGCAAGTGCTCCCTAAACACTCAAGCGTTTCATTGGAGACTTGCCATCCACTCGCATATGTCCCAGTTCTCTTAGCTTTGTGAGATTCCATTGTTCAAGTCAAATGTCTGAAATCTTAAAACACTAGAAAATTAGTCTACAAAAATCACTGGAATGTTTACTTCTTGAACTGCTCATTACACCTCTGCATAAAATGTAGCCTTGTACTGTCTCCTGAAGCGGGTCTAATTGGAAGGATAAAATATTTAAATCTTTGCAATGGAAACCTGAAGTACAACAAGACAAGCCCTAAGATAACAGACAATTTGTATTTTAATGATAATTCTTGCTTGAAGGAAAAGAAGCACTCATTGGCTGAAGAAAATATTCTCCAAGAAGCAGACTGCCAGATTCCCTGGAATTCTATTTTTCTGGACAGTAATATGTTCCTCTGGGGATGGACAATTTCTGCTAGTCTCTTGCGGAATTCTATTTTTCTGGACAGTAATATGTTCCTCTGGGGATGGACAATCTCTGCTAGTCTCTTGCGTATCTGTCAGAATGAGGCCCTTCCCCATAGCTAAGAGAGTTTCAGGAGATAAAAAAATCACCTCTCCAATACGAAGAGATGTCTTTTGTGTCTTTTTCCTCCTGAAAAATGATTGAAATGCAAATTAACTGTGAGTCTCTCAAGGTCCTGGGGGTAAAGAGAAGGGGAATTAGCAGGGGATATGCCAGCATCTCAGCTGTGATTAGATACATGTGTGGTGTCTCCCAGAAGGACAGGCCCAGTGTTAATATGATGTAAATATGTAGGTGAGACTGAATCCTCCCACCTAGCAAGGGCCAGATTCCAAGAGACAGGCGGAAGAGAGAGGTGGGGGAATTCCCAGCTCCTCAAGCACAGGAAGCCTACTTGGATCTCCCTAGTATGAATTTGAACCAAATAAAATGGTCATTTGATAGGTCAAAAATGGTCAGATGTCAGCAGTTTCACATGGTTCAGCCTAATAAGGTCATGGCCTACCTCCTTAGGAATAAGTGACTTTTCTACTGGGTCTGGCAGTGTTTTAAGGTTTTGCCAAGCTCTACACACCATTATTTAGTCTAGAGATAATACACTGGCAGCCCCGGGACGAAACCAGCCCACACGCCTGTTTCGTTTGGTCCAGGTAGTAGCCAGTCCCCAAGGACAATGACCATCCATTCTGTCCCTCTCTCCTAGACACACACGCTACATCAAAAGCTAGAATCCGACTCTCCTTCCTTTAAATCTGGGCTGGCCTGGAGACTTTCTTGACCGAAAGAATGTAGTGTTAATGACATTCTGGGACTTCCAGGCAGGTCTAGTAAGCCTGCAGCTTCTACCTAGAACTGCTGGAATACTCTTGGGGGAGCCAACACCATGCAAGAAGAGCAACAACCCTGGGACCTCCATACTGGGAGGAAGCCCAAGCCACCTGAAGAAGCCCTTGCAGGATGAAATCCCAAGAGGAGAGAGTGGTCAAGTTGCCTGGAGGCACCAGACAAGTTCGGAGGAAGCTACAGGCTAGAAGCCTAGACTCCAGCCCCTGCTGTTCCAGCTGATGCCACTGGGGCAAAAACAGGACTCTTGAAAGCTCCCAGGTGATTCTAATGGCGACAACATTTGAGAACCACTGGGTTGAAACCACTCACTACAGGGATGAGACAGTGCAAGACAAAAATAAGGTTGAGCTCTTACACCCGAGGCATGCTTTCACAGGAGCGTTACACCGTAAGAACAAGCAAAGGAGTCTTCCTGTCTCTGTTGTCCATGCCAATCCCCCGTAACACGTGTTGGCTTAACCTGCAGAACGTTCCTGAAATGCTTGCTCCCTTCCCCCAGCACCATGCACTTCTTGGATGATGTGGGCTTCCCCTGGAGCAAGTGAGCGTCCCAACAGGCCCAAGTGGAAGCTAAGGCTTTTTAGGACTTAACCACAGAATGTCACCAATACTGCATTCTCTTCACCAAGAAAGCCACTACACTTTCTCTTCACCAAGGATAGTCCCAGATTTAAGGGGAGAAGAATCAGATTCCAGCTCTTGAAGTGGTGGGCAGCAAGCGTGTCCAGGAGGGAGAGAGGAAATGCACAGCAGCTGTCTTTGAACATGGGTGACCCCACCAATGACACAGGGATTTTGGACTCAGTCCTAAAAGACTGATTCTCCCCTTATCCCCAGCCCACTGGGCGCCCAGGTGACCCTGTCCTCTTGGCCACTCCTGGTCAAAGAGAAATGGATGCCCTTTTTCACTGTTTACATCCTCCAGACTCTCCAGAGACTCAGGGACCGTGTGGAGTGGGGCTGGGGTGTTTCCAGGGTGGGGGAGAGGGCAACCAGGAGCCTCCAGGGCTCAGAAGCAAGATGGGGCCCATGAGCACACCCTCAGTGCCTGCAGCCTCTCTTACGCTGTCACACAGCCACGTATACCGCACCAGGGAGGGTGCCTCTGCATAAGAGGATTTGCCAGATAACTGGTGTCTACTCTGTACACCCAAAGAGGATATCTATTTAATGCTTAGCTTCCGAGTGGAAAATCTTTCTAAAATGGTTTATGTGTTCTGGGTCCTCTTCAGCCAAAAACAGGAATCACATTTAACAACATGGGTAAGAAGAAACGTGGGCTTGGAGTCACGTGGATCTGGCTTCACTGACTTAGTTAATCACACCAGTGTGCACGCCCAGCCCCAGGCATCCCTCCAGCTTCTCTCCTCCACAGGGGCTGAGGTTTTCCCAAGGAACTGCTCCAACTCTATGCCATTCCCCTGCTCAATAACTTGCAATGACTCCTACTGCCTACCGATTAGATGCAAACTTCTCACCTCAGCAATCAGCACCTTCTATAATCTGGCCCTGGCCTCTCTCTCTCAGCCCTCCTGCACCCCTATCTTCTAACTTTCTGAAGGACTCTATGAATATCTCCTGGGCTTACCTATCTTGATACCTCTCCACCTAGAACAGTCTTAAAGCCCAGGCCCACCAGGAGATATATGCCTATAGTTCTAATCCATCTACAGCCCCCATTCTCAAAGTCCTGATGATGACAGCTGTTCAGTGGCATTGGCATTTGACACTTTGAATTCACCGTCTTTTCCTGTTAATGTCTCTTCGTGAACATACATCTGGTCCTCATCCAATCCTCTAACAAATACTTGTGGACCTACTTTGTGCTGGGCACCTTCTTCAATCCAGCACTTTAGCCATTCCCCTCTTTGGGTCTTGACTGGGCCCATCATTTCTCCAAGATTTGATAAGCATGCAGAAAGAAAATCTACGTTCCATTCAAGTTTGTCCCACAGGATCCCTGTCCCAGTGCCTGACACGGAGCTTATTACAAGGCAGGTACTAGACATTTGCTGAGCAAGTGGATGGATGCACCAACATTTCTCTGCAAACTGCTCCCTGCTGAGGGAAAGACTGCACAGGGAGACCGTGACTGTCACCCTCACCTGGTGGCCACAGGACACACCGGGGGCAGGGTCTGAGCACTTACTCCAGCCAAGCACTGCGAAGTGTTGCAGGTGGTGAAGTAACAGTTCCCATCCTTATGGGGATAATGGGATGAATCAACAACAGAAAGCAATCCACTAGAAAGGCACAATAGTAAGACCACTTCCCAGAGGGAGGAGAAGAGAGAAATCACTCTGAAATAGATCTGTACTGTACCTTACATCAAATCTTTCTCAGGCTGCAGCAATAAGGTGGAAACCCCAGTGGCTTTGCAGACACTCAGACTCAGATTTGAAATCCAGTTCTCCTCCTTACAAACGGCATGTCCTTGGGCAAATTATTTAATCTCGTTTAGTGTCCTGACCTGTAAAATGGGGCCTCCGTCATGGACTTGTAAGGGTTTGCTGTGATAAAATATGCCAAGTACCCAGCATCTGGCACTTAGTAGGTGCCCAACAAACCTTAAGGTCTGTTCTCACGTGTGTGGCACTTCATGTTTCTGTCCCTTGTAGCTAGCACAGTACTGCGCATGTAACCAGTGTCAAAAATGTGTCAAGGAGAATACGTTGACCAAGTGGAATGTGAATTGTAAACAAAAAAGGAAAACTGGGAACCTGGTCTCTGGGCAGACTCTGCCTAAAGACGTTGAAAAGCCCTGTGTTTATTTTGTCAAGTTGCCATGGCAGCACTGATGCTGGAGCCAGCTCCAGGGTTAGCAAGGATCAATTTATCTTGTAACCATGGAAATTCCGGAGGTTCGGTGGGATCCAGAGGCGAAGGCAGACACAGTTCCTCTCCACTCTAGAAATAAATCCCGGAAAGCCTCCTTAGTTTTCGTGCAGCTAAAACCATCATTATCTAAAATGATGTTTACATGACAATACTTATAAGTATGGATTTAGGCACAGGAGATGTAAAATCAGGCAAAAAAAAGGGGGGGGGCAGCAATGCTCAGAAGGGCAATTAGCATCATGGAACACTTAAGAGGCTGCCAGAGAGCCAGGATCTAGACCCCTAGAGCTAACTTGGGGCTTCTGCATCTTTTATGCTTCCATTTGCAGACTCGCTGCCAACACACAGCCTGGATTTTGCTGTCACTTTTCAAACAGGCTTCCACTACAGGTGAAGCTTGGGGAAAAAGAAAGCGTCGCCTCAAACGCCATTCCCTGTAAAAGAAAACAGCAGCAGATGGGGTCCCTGCCACACACCATGGAGACAGAAGGGAGCCTGGGTGGCCTCCCGATCTCTCTGCTCCCACCATAACAAACCAACACAACCAGAGAAGTTGCAAGACGTGGCTTTGGTAGATTGGGACTTACTCTCCCAAGCCAAATGCAGCCCTTCCCTGGAGCCAGCTCTGGGTCTTCTCTAGGGCCCCAGACGGATGGAGAAATCCGGGATTTGTCTTTGTTCTGGCTCAAGAGAGTTAAGGCACAGACACAGAATCATCACCCAAGCTCAGAACTCCAGGGGATTCCGCTGGAGGAAAATGCAAGCTGTGAGAGATGTGTTTTTCCGGCCATTGGGAGCCTGTTTGTGTCGGGGGAGGGTTCCGGCCGCGCTGGGCACTGGTGGCTCCATGAGACTCTACACAAAGCAAAACAGGACAAATGACCGCGGCGCGTCGACGCTTGGCGGCTCACGGTCACAAAGCGGGTCTCAGCGCCTTCCTCGGGCGGCGGCAGAGGGGGCGCTCGAGGTCACCGGCAAGAGACAGATTACCGGCGCCTCGGCAACACAGAGCGGGGAAGAGCCAGACTGTGCGCCCATCCGCGTTCGCGCGGGTCTGAGCCGCCCCGGTCTTGGAGGGCTCCGGGACCCCAGAAGGGGGACAGCAGTGGGGGATGGGCAGGAAGGGGGCGACTCGGGTTGCCCAGGCTCCTCGCAGCCTCCCTGCCAGAGAGAGGGGCCCGAGTGGGAACAGCTCGAGCCACGGGGGTGCGGGGCGCGCAGCCCGCCCCACCCCGGGAGAGCCGCGATCGCCGCCCCCGACGCGTGCACCAGGTGGGGGTGCCCGGCTCGGGACAAAGGACCGGAACGCGGATCGCGGGAGGGCGCCACTGCCCAGTCCCAACGTGGAGGGCGAGACCGTGGCCCCGAACCTCCCCAAACTTGGTGGCCAGGGGCGCGTGGAGAGGGCGCCCCGTTACCTGCGCGGCCATAAAGGAGAGATCCATGGTGTCGCTGTCGCCGCGGCTGTTGCTGCCCCCCGCGCTCGAGTCCTCGCTGCTGCAGCTGCTGCTGCGGGTCAGCAGCCTGCACAGTTGGCGGGGATCGGGCGGAGCAGCTAGCGTCCCGAGCCCGCACGGCGCCCTCGGCTATCTCTGGGCTTCTGGCTCCAGACAGCTACTGGGCGGAGGGCTCCGAGCGCGGGGGCGGGCGGGGCGGGGCGGGGCTCGGGGGACGGGGCGCCCCTCCACGTGACCACTCCCGGCCCCACCCCCAGGGCGGGGTCCGTCAGAAACCCCAAGCGCTCACAATCGCCTCCCTTCGTGCGCGGGATGGGGAAACTGAGGCCCGAGGCCGCCCCGCTGATTGGTGCAAAAACCAGCCTGGAACCCAAGTCCTGAGCTGTTGGCGCCCCGGCCCGTGCAGTTGAGCCCAACCCACCCGGGGCTGTGGGCAGCTCTCTCTTGGGGCTGACACGTTATCCAGTGCCTGAGGACCAAGATCGGAGTGACCTGGCTTTCCACGCCAGCGCTCCTCCCAGGGTCCAGTGTGCTCCCGGCTCGGCATCTGGGCAGAACGAGGTTTAATCCTAGCTCTGCTTTGTTGTGCGGCTTGAACAAGATAGTGTCTTTGAGCCTAGATTTCCTCATCTGTGAAAAGACAATACAGAACCGAATAATTAAATAAGATAGGGAAGACAGCACGCGATGTCCTCAATAAATGAGAGCCCTAACATGGCTAATCATGCAATAGAGATGAGGCTGTGAGTGGTGTCTTCGAGGACTACACGGTGCTCAAGTTGCACAGCGGGTACTCTATGGCTCTCAGCTCAAACAAGTATCGAAAATCATGCAGATGCCACAGTTCAAGTAAGGGGAACAGTGTGTGTGTGTGTGTGTGTGTGCGTAGAGTACTACTGGTCCCTTCGGGTGGTATCTCTTCCAGGTACTTCACATTCATGGTCATCATGAGCCTCTGTGAGGGGCAGCCTGGGACTCCCAGACTTTGTCACAGGCAAGGAAGCTGTGGCACAGGGAGATGGAGGGGTTTGTTCAAGGTCCCCCGGCAGCTGGGGGCCCAGCAGGGACTGTGGCTGTGGGAATGGGACCAGAACCTCACTGACCCATAGAAGGCTCTCAGTGTTATCTTTCCTGTAACTTTCCTTTCTTTTCCTTCCCTTCCTTCCTCTCTCCTTTTCTTCTTCCTCTTCCTTCTCTCCTTCTCCCCCACCCGCCCCCACCACTTTTCTCTTTCTTCTCTCTCTTCACTTTTCCCATCATGCTTGCTTCCTCCCTTCCTCCTCTGGCCTCTAAACCTTACAATTTCCTGGCCCTCCCTTCCCTCCCTGTTTTTAGTCAGTACTGTGCTCGCCACACCCATCATTCCTGCCACCTCCCAGCGTCGTCCACACGGGGCATGCCTAAACAGTCCATGCCAACAGTCGTCCACCTCCTTCCATCCTTCCTGTGGCCAATAGCAGAGCAGCCTGCCCAGGACTGTCCAGGGCTCCCCGTCTGCTGTGAGAAATATGTACATTTATTGTGAAGTGTCATGCTTCGCAATCAAAGGGCATGTATGTTGTGTGTGTGCAATTTGAAATATAATATAGCCTTGCATAGGTTAAAAAAATGGAACAATAAAAAACAGTCTTCAAATCCTACTGTGTATCCCTCCTAAGGCATCTCGTACCTGCCCCGTTTCCAGGGTCACCTCCATCCTATTTAGTATTCATTCATGTCAATTCTCTTGCTTTCCTTTATAGTTTTACCTTTATAGTTTGCCTGCTTTAACCCTTTGTAGAAAAATTAAATTGCTCTAAATTTGTTCTTCCATGTCTTCTCTGTTCCTTTCTCAGCATTGTTTGTGTAGTTGATGTCCATTGTTTTTCAGTGCTACACAATGTCCCATTTGTATGTCTTTATCACAGTTTTTACTGATGCACTAGCCCTTTGATGATACTTTGGTCATCTCCAGGTTTTCTGATAACACCAAAAAAAAAAAAATGCTGCTATGAACACTCTCGATCTTGTCTTCGGATGCACAGGTGCAAGGGGTCCTCAGGAATGGAACAGTTGGGTCTTGTGGTCAGCTCCTCTGTGCTTTTACTAATTGATGCCCATTGTTTTCCAGTTTCTGATTTCCAAGGCGGTTTCACCCATTTTATTGTCCTACCTATAGCAGGCATGGGTTCTTATTGCTCCACATTGACCAACACTTTGTATTGTTAGGACTTTTTTTTTAATTTTGCAACTATGATATGATGAAGTAGTGTTTCATTCGGATTTGATCCTCATTTCTCTGACTACTAATGACACTAAGCATCTTTTACACACCTATTGATCAGTTTCATTTCCTTTGATGAGAAATGCCTTTCATCAGGTCTTTTGTGCGTGTTTTAAAATTTTGCTTATTGTTTTTTTATTGACTCAGGAAAAGTATGTATGTATTTTAGATACTAGTCTTGTTAGTTATAGGTTTTTAAATATCATCTTTCATGTTTACATTTCTTTTCACTCATATATTTTCATGAACAGAAGTAAATAATTTTAATTTGGTCAAAATTTTTAACATTTTCTTTTATAGTTAGCCCTTGTTTAATAAATTATTTGCCAATTTGAGACCATAAAGATATTGTCCTGTAGTATTTTAGTAAAAATTTAAATACTTTTTCTCATATTTCAGCCTTGTATAACTGATACATTGTGTGTGAGGCAGGAGTAAGGAAGCAATTTTATTTTTCTCATATTAATGTTCAATTATTCTAGCCCCATATTGACTAGATCGGCTCTTTCCTGTTGATCTGCAACACCAAATTTGTCAGGTGTCCATCTAGCCATGAGTCTGTTTCTAGGCTGTTCTGTTCCATTGGCTGTTCATCTGTTTAATACTAATGCTATTCTGATTTAGTTACTTTAGTTTCATGCTAATCCATGTATGGGACAGCAGGTTTCCTCACTGCGTTCTTTGTTTCCCTACTACCTGTGGCTCTTTGCTCTTTGGATACATTTTAGGGTGACCTCATCAGCTGCCCCAAATAACCTGGACTTGAACACAATTCTATTAATTCTTTTTGGGTATCATTGACATATTACAGATAACAAATATTTCTCTTCAAGAACATGCCATATCTCTTTATATGCTTAACTTTTCTTTAGTATTTCTATATAAAGATCTTGCAAATCTTTTGCTGAAATCATTTCATGGTGCCTTTCTTAAAAATTTTTATTTTGAGATGATTATAGGCTCATGTGCAGTTGTAGGAAATAATACAGAGATCTCATGTACCCTTTATCCAGTTTTTCCCAATGATAACACCTTGCAAAATTAGAGTACAGTATCAGCCCAAGGATACTGACATTGATATAGTGAAGATACAGAACATTTCCATCAGCACAAGCATTTCTCACTTTGCTCTTTTACGAGGAGACCTACTTCCTCCCTGCCCCACCCACTCTTTAACCAGGGGCAACCACTCATCTGCCCTCCCTTTCTATAATTTTGTGATTGCAAGAATGTTATAAAAGAATCATACAGTTTATACTCTTTTGAGATCAGCAGTTTTCACACAGGATAGTTCCCTGGAGGTCTGAGATCAGCAGTTTTCACACAGGATAGTTCCCTGGAGGTCCATCCAGATTGTTGCCTGTATCAATAGTTTGTTCCTTTGCATTGCTGGGTATTATTCTATGTTATGGATGTATCATAGTTTGTTTAACCGTTCACCTGTCAAAGGACATCCTGGTCGTTTCTAGTTTTTGGCTGTTATGAATGACACTGCTATAGACATAGTGCATGGCTTTTTGTATAAACATGTCTTCACTTCTCTGGGATAAGGGCCCGGGATCATGTGGTAGTTACAGTTTTCATTTCAAAGATACTGCCAAACTGTTTTTCACAGTGGCTGTAACATTTTACATTCCTACCAGTAACGTAGGAGTGGGTTTTCCATATCCTTGCCAGTATTTGGTGTTGTGATAGTTAATTTTATGAATCGGTTTCTATTGGGTGCCCAGATAAAACATTACTTATGGGTGTGTCCCTGAAGGTGCTTCTGGATAAGGTAAGCATTTGAATCAGTGGACTCAGTACAGTAAATTGGCCTCTCCAAGGAGGGTGGGCATCTGTATTAGTCTGTTCTCATGCTGCTAATAAAGTCATACCTGAAACTGGGTAATTTATAAAGGAAAGAGGTTTAATGAACTCACAGCCCCACAGGACTGAGGAGGCCTCAGAATCATGGCAGAAGGCAAAGGAGAAGCAAAGTCACGTCTTATAAGGCAGTAGGCAAGAGCTTGTGCAGGGGAACTTCCCATTTGGAAAATCATCAGATCTCATGAGACTTAATCACTACCACTAGAACAGTATGGGGGAACCACCCCCATGATTCAATTATCTCCATCTGGCCCTACCCTTGACACGTGGGGACTATTACAACTCATAGTGAGATTTGGGTGGGGACACAGCCAAACCATATGAATGTCATTCATTTATTGAGGTCCTGCATAGAACAAAAAGCTGGAAGAAGAAGGCATTTGCTTTTTTTTTTTTTTTCCCTACTTTACTACTTGAGCTGGGCACATCTCATCTCATCTTGTCCTGCTCTCAGACTGGGATATAGATATGCATCATATCTATATCCTCTGATTGTCAGACCTTCCGATTTGGACTGAATTACACCACCAGCTCTCCTGGGTCTCCAGCTTGTGGATGGTAGATTCTGGGACTTCTTGGCCAACTCTTCATAATAAACCTCCTCTTATTTATCTCTAGGAATGTCCTACTTGTTCTTTTTCTCTGGAGAAATTTGACTAATATGAGCATCGTCCTTTTTTTTTTTCTTTATTTTAGCCATTATGATAGGCATGACATGATATCTCATTGTGGTTTTACTTTATGGTTTCCTAAGAAAAGGCTAACAATGTTGGACATCTTTTCAGATGCTTATTTGCCAGTGGCATATCCTTTTTTTGTAGAATGTCTATAGATGCAGTCATACAACTGTACTCTTCTCTTCGTTTGACTCTTTTGTTTGGCATGATATTTTTGAGAATCACCCATGTTGTTGCCTGTGTCAGTAGTTCCATTTTTACTGCTGAATAATTTCTGATGTGTGGATATAGCACAACTTGTTTATCAATTCTCCTGTGGACGGGCATTTGGGTTGTTTCCAAGTATTTGGCTATTATGAACAAAACGCTG